TTCTATAGTTTTCATTGCCTTACCACACAACAGAATGCACGAATGAGCCATTTCTGATGAAATGAAGAAAGAAACAGCCCTGAAATAATGCTGCCAGCTTTCTGCCTTGTTGCATCCTCTTATAATTGTTCTTCTTTTTACTAGTAATTAAGGGGCACATTCCAAGGCAGAACCCTTGGAATATTTAATACAGATATCACTATCTGTATTAAATCACAAATGTTTTTAAAAGTTTTCATGAAAGCAGAGTTATATTGAGGATGCAACAGAAATACCTGCATTTTGCATTTTTTCCCTTTTAACTCCTTTGACCCTGTGACATAACAGCTTTCAGCTGAATCTTAAAATCTTCACTGACTTGTTCCATAGGCCCGTGCACTACATTTCTACAGGACTTGTGGACTTAATTTTCATAGGCTTATTTGAAAATCCCAACTTGAATTGAACACCTCCTAAAGAGGAGGAGAATGGATTTTTTTTTTTTTTTTAATTTTAGAGGAAGGCAAGTTTGAAAGTATGAGTGTGTTTGTTCTTTCTTTTTAAGTATCTAATCATCATACCTGTTTTTTATAATCTCCTGCCTTACTAAGGTTTCCTTCACATACAGTGGAAGAAAAAGTTTCTTTCTGAGTGTTAAAACTCTGTTATGTTGGACTGTTGAGTTACTCGTTTGTCATAGTACATTACAGGGCACTCCCCTGGAGAGGCAGTCTGTGCTTCTCAGCTGGGAATGCTTAGGTCAAGATGTTCTTGAACACCTAAAGAGTAACAGTAGCAAGAAGTGTACACAGAAGTAATAGATTTTTCAGTAAATTTAAATCCACCCTGAATCTCACTAAATGAAGATGGAAAAATAAAAATAATGTAGCTCTTTTTGATATGTGTACTGTCAGCTCTCTCTTAAATCTCAGATTTCCTAGTACTTCATTTATCCTTACATTAACAGTTCATACCAGCAGCAATAGTAGTGAAAGAAAGAGCGGAGATGAGTTTTGTGTAAGTGTGTGTGTGTGTGTGTGTGTGTTTTAACTCAGGCTGGTTTAATGTCAGGCAGTTCACACGTTTGTGAAGCAGGGTGTGTACGCACAGGAATCTGCCCAGGGGCCTTACGCCCCTCATGGCAATTAACTGCAGCAGTACTCTACTTGCAGTCGAAGAGTTACTCTAACAAAGGCAAAAGTACAGAAGTGATTAGTGAATGTGTAAAACACAAATTTATCAACCCACAATTCACATATGTGTGTTCATTAATATGCAACTCTAACCCCAAATATTTCTTCATTCCTTGACTGCCTGTCATCTCTGAGAAAAGTTAATATTGTGGTGGGAAGTAATCTCAGAGGGGGGTTAATGGCTTTGAAGAATTCATAGAGCTTTTAAGTTATGAAACCAGAAAAAATTACCCATCTGTTTGTATGCACCAAAAAGGATACCACGTGTCCACTTCTGGCAAGCCCTCCTGTCCGAGCACTTAGGAAGGCTAGTTAAAATACACACATATTATCTTCATGAATAGAGCCACTTGCAAAATACTGACCTTCACAAAGTCTGCACTATTCTTCTTTCTGAGCAGAGTTTTTGGCAATAGTTTCATTATGCCAGCAGACAAAAATGTAAGTTTTTCCACAAATTACCTGAGACCATAGGCCAGGGCTCCATTCAGGTGGGCAGTCCTGACTATTGCACATCTGCACCTGTGTAGGGGTGCTGACAGGACACAGGGAATGGGCCACTACCTCCTCTCTTTGGAAAGCCCTTTTCTGGACACACTGAATGAGACGACTTTGTTGCCCTCCTCCACAAGATTTGCTGCATGCGCTCCATTCGCCTGTTGACCAGCTTAAAGGAGAAAATGTATGTTAGAAACACAGGAGTCCAATTAGCTTTGTAAAATCAATACATATGAGCCACCTATCAAATGTGAATTATTCAGGGATTCTGCTTAGCCTACTCTCCTGATGTATCTGTTCAAGCAATCAAAAAGCCTTAGTTACATAATCTATCTTCAAAGCATGGAACATTTTGCTAGGGATGAAATATAAGTCACACAACTAGAAAAACGAGTATTACTTATTTACAGTTCTCATCTACCAGAACCAACTTGCCTATGAATCCGATCTGGAATCTGGAATTCCATGGGGTCTGAGAGAGATGCTGCCATTGAGGCTGGTGGAATATCTAGAAGATCTAAGGATCTGGCTAACAAATCACCATTGCTTTTTAACCGCATCTATGCTTTCAATTGAAAAAAAAAACTCTCTAAAACAGGGAAACAAAAATCTTTTGTAAAGAAATGGTACAATGATCACTTTTGTCACTTTAGCTGCTGAAGAGACCTCCAAATAAAATAACAGACCCGAGGCCAAAGGAAGAAGTCAGATAGATGGAGAGAGTTCTGTAAATCGATAAGATTCAATTATTGGAAAGTTCTGCCCTTTGTTGTTACATTTTTTCCTTTTTACATCTCTCTCGGAAGACAGGGCGGAGGAGGAAGATTCACCTAAGGTGATATAAGGGAAAAGCTGGCATGGCAGGGAAAGAACGGGGCCAATTTAGCTGAGCATGTACCTCCCAATGCATTTGTGCGTAGATACACTCACACAGGGCGACAAATGTTGGCATGGTGCTGTCCAGTGGTATTTATGTCAAACCTTACTGGCCTCTATTCACAAAAAAGAACTTGCTTGCTAAAATCAGCAGTCCTGTCATTAGTGTCTGGAGGATTTACATGTCCTCAGACTAATAAATTTGGCAGACAGATGATGTAGAATCTAAATAAAACAGAGGAAATTTAACCAGCAAAAGCTGTTGGGCAAATCTGTACTCCAGTCACAAGCACGCCTCAGTTACGCATCATGTCACTGAAGTTACACAAAGTCTGAAGAATTACTGCCCATTGCTTAGGATAAGTTCAGTTTTGAAATGTCAATAGCAGCCCAGTAGTTCTATTAATGAAGCACTAAGTGGGTCCCCAGCCTTTGTGGAACACATTGCAAACATACAACCAAGTGTCTTTGTCCTCGAAGGCTTACAATTTAAGACCATAAATAACAACTAGATAGGAAAACAGAAGTGAAGAAACAAAAGAAATTATGAATGACTAAATGATTACTCAAGTTGAGAACTCTTATTCAAAGACCCAGCACTGAAATTAAACTAAAGATACTAAAACAACAGTTTTACAGATTTTTAATAATTTATGCCACAGAAAAGGTTCTCGTCTCAAATCCGACTGCTTGGCCTATCCTACTTCCACAGTTTCTCACAGCGTCAGTCCTGTCACCACTGGAATAGCTGCTTACATACAGTTTTAATGACAAGAAAGCTTTTTCTTCTTTTTTCTTTTCTTACTGTGTGAAAGATGAACAGCGTCCCATTTGCCTGTCTGTTCACATCTGCCTGAAAACAAAGCTAATTTTAATTTGTAAAAAATGTATAAAAAGCCTATTTTGGAAAAAAACCTTTGGGAATAGAAGAAATCCTGACTCTCAGTCTAGTAACTTCAGGAACTGCCAAAAGTAGTGGGAAAGATAAAAAGCACTAATTTAAGGACAAAGAAATTTTAATGTGAAAAGTCAGTAGTTATGTAATTCCAGAACATGTCAGAAGTTTCCTTTTTGTCTGATTTATAAATATTTGGACTATCGAAATACAAACTTCTGGAAAAAAGTTATAGTTTTAATCAATTTTACCACTTTTAATTAGTTTGCCTTGATGTTTCTGACAATGGTGATTGGTAGAGCAACCAAAAGTGTTCATTTTAAGCGTTTATTCACCATAACTACCCAGAAAGTTCCCCTCTTCACAGAGGAGAGGGCAATAAACCTGCTTTAATGTCCTCTAGTAAACTGCCATTTTCCAAGATTATCTGGGCTGTGATCCAAGAGTATCTTTCATTAGCTCAACTAAATAACTAAATAATTATGACCAGATTTGGCAGCTCTGAAATCCAACAACAACAGTGTGCAGTACTGATGCCTTTCTGTGTTCTTGCTGTTGGGACAGTAGTTTGTTCCTACTCAGACTACTACTAAGTCTCTGTTCTTATGCAGTAATTATTCCTCACTGACCTTTATAAGTCTGGAGCATCTTTTATGTCAGAAAACTGACATGCTTGCACCTCATCTATTATTCTCCTCCTTCCCTTGCCTATTATGCCTACCATATTTGGTTTTGCTTTATATGCTGGGTATTAAGCATTCTTTGTTTCCTCTGTGGTATTTATTAATACTACATTTTTTGATGTTGGCAGTCTCGGTTTTATGGGAAATATTACATGCCGTGACTTTCTGGGCAGATTGCTCAGCAGAGATGTTCTGGCTCAGTTTCACTCAGCTGAATGGCAATCTGTTAATTTAAGACATGGTCCTACATGTAGATCCTCCATACATTAATATAGCCTAAGGATTTTAAAAAGAATTAATTAGTGAGTTGAATTGTTTTTCCCTAGAGGTGGCTTGGGGCTTTTACGGTTTTTCTTTTTGTAATCTTTTTAGGGTTCAAGTCAGTAATTGTGTTTTAAAGTAGGAAATCTAAGAATATCAGAGCAGTTTCTGCATGAAAACATTGCACTGCGTGTCAAAATGGATATTCAGCATTTTCAGTGATAGGTAAATCAGTGGATTGTCAAAATACATCAGGTTCTCTGGTTAATAGAAATGGAAATTTTGTGTGTGGTCAATAGAAATGAATATGATTTTGGTGAAGCTTTATAGCATAACAATGCCACATCAAAATGAAGGTAAGCATAAACAGCTTAAAAAGACTCCTGGGAACATCATGGACAATACATTTATGTGTACGTGATACTGAGTTCATTGGATAAAAATAGCTCTGGCAGAAGATAAGTCACATATGAAAAGATTGTGTTTGCCTACAAAGATTACTTAAAATTGGTATTGAGAAAATCTAAACGCAATCTAAAGAAACTGCTGAAGCTGTAACATGGGGCTCTCATGTCACATGTTACCATTATTTAAACCTTATCATCTCTATCGTTTTGTGGTCATAGTGTATAATTTGCCATTTGGAATTTGTGTACTCTGCTGTAATCTTTAAATTTTGCAGGAAATTCCATACTATTACTGGACTGTTTTTTAGTATGTTCAACATATTGCAATATGGATTTTTAAGCCACTGCAGAACATATACATCTTTTTGCTTTGCCCCATCATCCTCTTCTGGATCAGGGGAGATGAGGAATGCTTCCTATTAAACTTCATTAAATGTGTTATTTTATGAAGTATGGGAGCAGGCTTAGCCAATTGCTTTTACCGCCCTTTGCTTTTATCACTGCAGAGTAAAACCAGCAGATGATACCAGGTCTAGAGCTTTCCTCCACTTCCTCTGCCTTCTGCTGCCTGTGTGTTTCAATGCATCTTTAACTGTCTTTATTTCACGCTGAAACACTCTTAATTTTTTCAACATACTGCTTTAGAAAATCTCCTGGTCTGGAAGTCAAAATGTCTTGTCCAACATAGTACAGCTTTTCTAATCTTTAGTATAAAATTAAAATAATGGTAAGGTTGCAAAGTCAGGAATCCAAAAGTGAAAACAACAGCAGAAGAAAGATGGCCAATGTGTCCTTAAATCTACCCATTTATATTCTAAGCCACATAATACTGTGTTTAATTATATGAGCACACAACTTTTTTTTTTCCAAAGGACCCCTACTACAGCTACTATAAATCAGTGTAACTCCCTTGTTTTTAAAGGAGGTCTATTGATTTAGACCAGCTGGATTCTAAATGCTTATCTGTATGTCAATGTCTTCCTTTGTATCTCACCTTTCTTAAGGCTTTTAGAAAATAAGATCGTTCACATAGGCAATGTCTTCATACTTATTTTTGTGGGCACCAGGAGCATTGCTGACGATTTATTTGGTTTAGATAGTCCTCTTCTTGGTATCATAATGCTCTGTGGGACATTTTGTCCAAAAATCACTAATTGCACTTCACAAGACTCTTTTAACCTAATCTAATATGTGGAATCTGAGTCATGGGGCCAAGCTTCCACACGGGGAGTAGCACTTTACTCAGGAAATGGTCTTATTGATTCAAGGTGAGTAAAGGTGGCAGAACGGGCCTTTAAGTAACTTAAATTTACTCAGTGTCACATAGCTAACCCCGGCATGGTGACAGAGCTGCAAGCAATCCTCAGGAGGTCTTGCATTAGCAACATTAGAAATACCACCTCTATTATTATCATTGGGCAGAAGCCTACACAACTAACATTTTTAAACAATTACTGTTTTATGTTACAGAATAAAAGCAGGTTCATCTAGCAGGCTATATAATTCTGTGTGCCTGTCGGAGAGGACTTCTTTCATGGCAAACTCAGTCATAAGGCACAGCGAAAAGGTACAAAAATAGAGAGAACTTACTATGCTGGGCAGGGATTAGTATTGCATAATTTTGTTTCAGTTAAAGGCTTCATCCTTGGGCCACAAAAGGAGGAATTAACTCGTGTACGATGATCTTCTAAACAAATTGCTTTTGCTGTAATATGTCCTATGGAAGTATTAGAAAAAAATACAGTAAAATAACCGTTTACTCAAAATGTAAGAGAAAAAGTAGTAGGGAAGAATTTTAACTAAACAAGTCCAAGCTCATCCTTGGTACAATTCCACTGACTTGAACTAAATAAAATACGATTTAATTTGGCAACATGTTTTTAACATTAATTTCCTTCTCTGTAACAGAGGTACTATTGAAGTCAGATGAAACATTTTAGTTCTAAACAGCATATTTGCAGAATCTTCCCCCAGCAAAAATCAGTAATTCTTCAAATCCTAATTCCCTGCAGAAACTAGCAGTGCTTGCTTAGCGCTCTCCTCATGTACTTGCAAACTGCTACAAAATATTTTGCAACTTTTTACAGTATATCTTTACAGACTTCAGAATTCTGCAGGTTCCTGTACCTAAACTCTATTTTATAGATTTAGCTTTTCATTGAGATGTATCATTCACCTCACACATGGTTCATTGGGCACAGCAAGTCAAATTTGGAAACACGGTTGTTTCCATCATCTTTATATCCATGCTGCAACCTTCATTTGTTTTAAAGAGAAGCAAGAAAAATACAGCTGTCATATTTTATGTCTGCAGTGCTCCTGGTGGGTCTTTCTTCCATAAACAGTCTACTGAGATGCTGCGAAGCCTGACAACACCCTAGCAAGGTATTCTTGAATTTCCCCTGGACTTTTTTGCCAATACAGGAGCATAATGTGGCATTTCCTTGGTCACCCAGTCCTATTCTTTGGTATTGAAGACAACTGCATCATATAGTCTTATTTATATGATGACCCAGTTCCAATTTAAAGGCCACTAAAATTTTAATTCTCAATTCTTTTTGCAGGACTTCCCACATGCGAGTTTTCTGCTGTCATTACATCCCAGAAGTACTTTCACTGACAGAACATCCAGGATTTAGAAAAACAATAGACGGTCTGCGCAAAGCAAATACCTAGAGGAATATGGTAATAAGAAATCCTTAGCTTATATAGAATTTCAGACTCTGACCTGTCAGAACTCAAATATTTGTAATTAAACAGTGAGAAGATCAGGGTGCAACTGTCAGTAAAGATCTTGATAATATTTTAGTCTTCAATTATTCTCTACAGATAAGATAAATTTTACTGGTTATTTGGTATCTTTCTATGTCCCCAAATTACAACAACATCAAAGCACATATTTAATTCCCACATTACTTCAACAGCAAGATATCATATGCCTACAGATTGACCTAAAGAAAAAATTCATGTAAGTGACATGAATTGAGATTGGCATGAATTTTTTTTTACTATAAAGGAAGTATGAAGGTACTTCATTTATGTTATAAGTTGTCAGATAAAAAAATAAGGACCAGGTGTTCAGTGTAACCCCCTGTATGTATTGATACACATTTGCAAAATTAAAGGCAGCTGAAATGTTTGAGATGCTTAAAAAAATTAAAAAGAAGAGGATTGGCAATTGGAAAGTTACCTACCACCACCACAAGTAGCTGAGCACTCTGACTGCACTGTCACCCAGGAGTAGCTATGTTTTTTGACAGACGTCTTGTTTTCATTGTTGGTTTTGGAAAATGTATATTCCCAAGCAATCCCAGGATTTTTGCCTTGTAACAGGATCTATAGAGGGGTATTTGGGGTTTGTTTAAAAAGAGGTAAGGGGTTGAAAAAAAAGAAAAGGATTCTGTCATTCTGAAGGGAGATGAACTAAACATGATACACACATAATATATTTATACACACCATATTTGTGAAAGAATTTTCAGGAGACCTAGTTTTTCAATAAACTAAAAACCGTCAAAGTAATTACTAAACAGCAAAGCGTTTGCTTGGACTAACACCTGCAGGGCATATAACAG